CTCAAATTTGTGATGATTTTCAGTCTCCCAAGTGCTGGGAATACAAGCATGTGCCACCTTGCCTGGCTATCTCCAAATATTTGAGTACTTGTTGAACACAAATATAGACACATTTTTTATCACCTGCTTTTCTGTATAGTTTGTGTCAGTTTCTTATTGCTGTAGATGATACTTCATTTAAATAAATAAAGAACTCAGGGTTCTTGAGTAATCTGTGGAAGACTCCCCTTCCCTGCTGCTTCCCCGAGTTCCCCAAACAGACATATAAGAATTGTGATTCTGACCTGTCTGGAAAAACAGCCAGTTTCTGCTCAGGTACCTCGAGTCAGTGATGGCTCCTCCTTCACTGGTCCTGCCCCTTGTAGCTCAGTTATTTAATTCAGCAGTTGGCTCTGTGTCATATGCCTAGCTGGTAACACTTTGCTTTAGTCCCTGACTGAAACCCGCTGTTGAGAATGACCTCTGGATCTCAGCTGGATGACCAAGTACTCTCGACCCTGCTGGGGGCATTTCTTTTCTGACTCCTTCCCCATTTCCTGGGCGATGCTTTACCCCAGCCCTTCTTATCCTGCACGTGTAGCTTCCTTGCAGAGCCTTTGGGACCTTGGCTACTTGGTCATCCTGCAACCCAAAACTAAAACGCATGGGAACCTTGCTAGGTCACTCATGATATGGCACATACAACTAAAACAGAAGATTACAGGGTAGCACCCTCTACGACTCTTTAAAACTTCAAACGGTAGCTTTGTACAATCTTCTGTACTTTCTATTCTCCCTGCGTCCAGCACCATACTGCTACTAAACTGTATGGAAATTTTTCCAGCTATAAAAACACAACCTGGATTTAGCTCAGTGGTTCCGCTGTCTGCCCTGTAAGTGCAAGGACCTGAGTTTGATCCCCAGTACCAAAAAAACAAAAACAAAAACAAAAAAACCCCAGAAAAAATAGTGAATCATTTGGTATTTAATGTCTTCTATTACTGTTTTGACTTTTGCTTTTTAAACTTTAATAAGATAGCAAATGTGATTTTCTATCATACTTGGAGAAATTTTTTTTTTTTTTTTTTTTTTTTTTTGTTAC